CTGACGGAGGGGACCCTGCGGCGCATGGGGGTGTCCCCACGGAGCCGGCGCCGGGAGCTGCTGCGGGAGCTGCTGCGGCTGCGGCTGCAGCAGGAGCTGCAGGAACTGCTGAGCATCGTCGGGGGTGAGCGTCCCACACACCAGGGTTGAGGGTGGGCACTGGCCGTGATGCCAAGGGTGCACGGGCCAGTGTCCCCGGGTGGTCACCACCATCTCTCTCCCCAGAGGGAAGGTGATGTCCCTGCAGATGTCCTGCAGACAGAGAGGTGACACCGCCGGAGGACAGAGCAGCTGCTGGAACTGAGGATCTGAAGCAGGAGCGGTGCTGGAGGGACACCTGAGGTCATCGAGTGCCCCCTCAAGAAGCCCAGACCTGGCCAGAGCTGGCAGGAGATGCAGGGAGGGGTGGCCACCAGACTCCAGCTGTCACAAGTTGAGGGTGGCTCCCCTCATGCCACCCCACTGGGCTGGCCCACTGCCTCCCGTGGGCTCCCACCGCCTCTGGCAAGCTGGGGGGAGCCCTACAAGCCCCACAGCCCCCTGAGGATCCCACTGCAACCGTGGGGCAGACTGGCCCCAGGAGAGACCCTCCAGCTAAGGGGCTCAGTGGCCTGTCCATCTGTCCTTCCAGGGGATGGAGGGTCTGGCATGAAGGGGGGCTGGTTCCCAAATTCCTGTGCTGGGGAAATCCATGGTCTCAGTGCCGGGGCTGGCAGAGGAGTGTGGAGCCAGTGCCCTCAATAAACACCTTCCTGGTAATGACCCGCTCCCAAATTGCTCCCCTGTCCCCCCCGGTGCAGCCGACCCCCGGCAGATGTGGGCTGTGGGGACAGGATCCGACCCTGGGACCCGATTCCTCAGGGACAACGGGGGTGTGGGGGGTGAGAGCTCCTCATCCCCCTGCAAATCCCTCTGGTGACACCCCCAGTCTGCTGTGCTCCGAGGGACCCCGGGGCTCTGGCTGGACACTGTGCCCCCCCCAGAGACGGGGAGCTCTGGGGGGACAGACCATGAGCAGGTGGTGTCAGGTGAGTCTGGGGGAGCAGGTATGGGCTGTGGTCGAGGGGGTGATGCCCATGGGGTGACTTTGGGATCCCCCCGAGGCAGCCCTGGATCATCTCCCCGGGGTGGCTCTGGGGGGCAAAGTTGGGGAGGGCGCAGGGGACGCAGGATCACCCCAAAGGGCTGGAGCCACGGTCTGCTTTACCCCTGGGCCTGTTTCCTCAGCAAAAGGGACATGGTAGCTGTGGGGGCCATCCAGCCAGTTCCTCATCCACCAAACAGGCCACCAAATCCACCCCCACAAGAGGAAACCGCCTCAGGTTGCACCAGGGGAGGCTTAGGATGGAGATTGGGGAAAATTTCTTCCTGGAAAGGGTTGTCAATCCTTGGCAGAGGCTGCCCAGGGCAGTGGTGGAGTCCCCATCCCTGGAGGGATTTCAAAGCCGGGCAGACGTGGTGCTGAGGGACA